GCGCAGCTCTGCCCTCCCTCTGCCGCCTGCAAGCCCGGACAGCCCTGCCGGAGCAGGCGGCGCCCACCAGATAGGAGCCAGTTAGCCCGGATCTGCTGGTGCTTCCAGCCTAAGCCCTCCACTGACCACCTCTCTGTCCCACCCCAAACCAGCCACGAACCCTACGGTTACTGCAAAGGGGATCAAGTGTTCCGGGTGTGACTTTGAAATCAAAACCAACAGAGCAATTGGCAATGACCCACATGAGCACTAACTGGTTTTTCTAACTGATCTTTTTAGTGGCTTCTCATTTGGAAGCTTAATACTCTATCAAGTCCCTAACGAGAAGAGGTGAGCTATTTTTCACACACTCGGACATAACATGTTAGCAAAGAATTCAAGTTTTCCAAGGGGTCGGGCAGTTGCGAACTGACTTTGTTGCTGGCTGGGTCAGGATATATGAATGTAAGCATAGTCATGATTATGGAATAATTTTAAGGCACATCATATGTAGATATTTGGCCTTGAAAACTATCAACACGGATCCATTTAAATACATTCCCAGTGAGAACTCCTTAGCTTAGTCACTGGGGCCTATTTCTGCAGGTGTTTTTATGCTGCCTGTACGAAGGGGGCCCTGGGATGGAAGTCCCTGAGAGCGGCTGCCCGGGAGCTTCGCTGCGCGGGGAGTTGGGGGCAGCCCCGATGGAGCTTGCCCTGGGCACAGTGACTCAAGGGCTGGCTGCGTGGCTACGGGCCATAATCAGGCAGTGCCGTGATGTGCTCTGGCATCCTTGCAGTTGCCTTGGATACTTTTGAGCTCACCTAAATTCAGGAGAGAACAGAGTGATTCCTCCCACAATTATGCAGGCTGGCTGTTGGCTGGTGGGGCGACTGCTGGGTTTGAGACCTCCTGTTCAAACCCCTAATGACAAAGCAGGCTCCACCCCAGTTGGCCTGAGCTGCCTACAACCAGTCTACAGCTAGCAGGGAAGAACTTACCTCCCCAGGTCACTGGACCCGTCTCAGATGCCCAAGGAGAGCCCCATCTGCAAACCCAGCATCTATCCTGTGCGCACCTTGCTCCTCTCTCTCCGCTCCTCTTTGAGGAAAGGGGGGCTCACTCTCTGGGGCACGGTAGATGGGCTGTGCATGGGCCTGTGACTCCGAGGAAGCACCTCGGTATCGCTCAGCAGTGACTTGGAGAGCCCAGCACCACTCCTAGCCAGACGGTCCCCTGGGGCCCAGACACTCAGCGTTAGCGAGCAGAGGCGGAGCAGCCCCGTAGCATACTTACTTCCCATTCCCATACTTGATCCGGATGTCTTTGCTCTTCTTCAGCTCTTTGCCATCTTTAAACCATTTGTAGGACGGCTGAGGGTTTCCAGCAGTTGCCTCACATTTCAGTGAAATCTTTTCACCAACATGAACGTTTGGGCTTTTCAGCTTCTTCAGTTTGGGAGGGACAGCTACAAAAAGAGAAACCAGACAATGTGAAACCTGCCTCTTCCAGAGGCTGTGCCCGAGCGGTGTGAGCCCACGGAGCCCCCTCCCCTAGGAAAAGCGCTCGCTGCCCCCGCCACCGCGTGATGGCTGGAGAGGGGCTGCACGCCAGCTCGGCTTCCCAGGCTCCACCAGCACACAGGCAGGGAAGGAGCGCAGGGTCAGAGCCATCCGTGCAGGGAACAGAGGCAGCACCCGGGTCTGCTCCACGTGGGCAGGCTCGACGGCTCCATGGCTGCCCTTACTCCCGCAGGCAAGACCCGCACGTCCTCTGCCAGCGCAGGAGCTTGCTCTGCTTCCAGGCTCTCCCACCTGGCCAGGGCCAGGGACACAGGAGCTCGAGCTCTTCGGAGACCGTTTTTCCCTGCATCCTGGGTGCTGCGTGCCCGCCGTGGGGACCACGGGGCATTCGGCCTGACAGCGTGAGCAGCAGAGCAACAGCCACTGAGAGGGGCGAGAGCCCACGCATGTGAAGGACGAGAAGGGGAGGGACAGCTATTCTTCAGGTTGCCGTTAGAAAAATGAGAGACTAAAGCTAATTGAAATGGTCTTAGGACCTGCGATTCCAGGCTGGCCAGCAGCCCTTCCAGTCTGATGCCTGGTTCTGCATGTGAGCTTTCTTGGGTGTTTCAGGGAGGTGGCCACTGAGAGGGGCGAGAGCCCACGCATGTGAAGGACGAGAAGGGGAGGGACAGCTATTCTTCAGGTTGCCGTTAGAAAAATGAGAGACTAAAGCTAATTGAAATGGTCTTAGGACCTGCGATTCCAGGCTGGCCAGCAGCCCTTCCAGTCTGATGCCTGGTTCTGCATGTGAGCTTTCTTGGGTGTTTCAGGGAGGTGCTTTTACCATGCGCCCGGAACGTCAGGCAGAGAGGGAGACACTGCTTATCAGTCACTGCCAGGCTTTGTATTACACCTGACAGAAAGGATTGGCAGGCTTGCAATTTTTCTTTCAACTGACAACTCTTCGCTCCCCGAGCTCCCTTTTTCATTCTCAGCGTTAACCCTAAAAAAGGAAATAGCAAGTTGCTGGTTTTGCTTTGAGACTATTGGTAACAGTGGATTCCACTTGTCCAAGATGTGTTACAGATAAAGCATTTCCCCTGTTTCACGTGCACAGGCTGCTTTTTAATTGCCATGGGCGTGCTGATCTTGTGGTGTGGAAGAGCAATCAAAGGAGGAGGATCCGGAGGGGCTTCGTTAGAGCAATTGCTCTTTTATAGACCTTTGTACGTCTCCGCTCATTCTTCATGCCAAGCTAAATTACCTGAGTTTGTTTTTATTTAAAGACTGTTTTCACTGCAAGTGATCATACACAAAATAAAAAGCACAGCAATCACCAGGCACACGCTCCCGGGGCAGGAAGCTCTGGGGACTCTCACATCCCTGTGTCCTATGTGCGAGGGCACAAGAAGCAAAATGGTCCTGAATCAAAAAGATGCAAAGACAGACAGAAACGGATCAGTTCAGGGTAATGCGAATTGGCTGGGCACGGTGACTGAAAGGCAAACCCGGAGACGTCTGTGACCACCAGAGCAGAGGCACCCAGCAGCACATGGGTGGGGAGCGCAGTGGGTCTGGTGCCCGGCACGCCAGACCCCCCGCCGACCGGCACCAAGGCACAGGGGCGAATGTCAGGTCCGGGAGTGCAGAGGAAGTGTGTTTAGCACACCAAGGAAAAAAGAATAAACCCCACCAAAGGTTCTTCCCGACTGTTATTTTTGCGCAGCCAAGCGTGCTGCAGGTCCCTAGAAACCTGCACCGCGCTCACACGCGCTGAGGGGGCAGGGGCAGCACAAAACCCCTCTTGGACAGCCACAGGCAATTGCTGCAGGCTGCACACGGGCGGCCG